GGGATTGCGGCGTGACCATCTGGCTGCACAAAACTGTGAATATGGTAAAAACCACTGAATTATAAACTTTAAATGAATGAATTATATGATATGCAAATTACCCATCAATATAGATCTTTAAAAAAGGTTTTAAAAGAGTACATTTAGGGGTAGGCAGATGACATGGTGGTTAAGGCACTGGACTCCCACACTGCCCACCACAGTTTGAGTCCTGGACCTGGCAGTTTGCTTTCTCACTTTCCTCCTCTCGCTCCATCTCTGTCTCTCTCTGGTGAATACATGTGCAAATTTTAAAATAATTATAATAAATAAAATTAAATAACTCTAAAAAAATAGATTTATGTTTTGACTAAAAAATTCCACTTCTAAAAACTTACCCCATAGACAGATAGGCTTACATGTGGGACATAACACGTTTTATGTAAGAATATTAGGGTATAATTGTATGATGAAACAATCCAAAATTATGTTTAAAAAAGCTTTTGTGACATGAGGATTTTATGAGAACACGCATGATAAAAAAAAAAAAAACTAGTTTCCATGATCTTAACATTATTATTTTTTAAGAGAATTATTTAATTTTGGGGGCCAGCAGGTGGCATAGTGGCTGAGGCGCTGGACCACATTGCTGACCAGGGTTTGAGTCCCAGACCTTGTGGCTTTTTCTTTTCCTTTTTCTGTCTCTCTCTGGTCAAATCAGAATAAATGAACAAATAAATAAAATTAGAATAAGTTATTCTTTAAAAAAGAATTAATGTTTATGATTTATTATTGCCACCAGAGATAGGTAAATTGAGAAAGTAAGTCACCAGGTCAGGTACTGCAAGGGCCGTGTGAGAGTGTCCAGAGCCTTAATCACCACACTACCTGCTGGTTCCCCTAACTTTATTTTCTTAAAGTCAGGACTGCTAGAAAATACCAAAAAGTTGCCAGTGGTTAGGCATTATGGGAATTTTGTATATTTTATAAACGTTTTATAACGGGCATATGGTATGTTCACAATGGGGGTGGTGGTCTATATTTAAAAAGCAATGTGTCACCAAGGCTGCCTAATGTGACAACCCATGCTTACAAAAACTCCTGGAGCAGATTGGGGGATTTTATTTATTTATTTTTTCATTACCAGCTATCAATGGCTAAGCAGGATTAATGCTTGGCCACATCGCTCTGTCCAAACTCTCACCCAATTCCCAAAGAGTGCGCTAACGTTTAACGCAAACGCTATCGTTAAGGCTAACGCTATCGTTAATGTTAACGCTATCATTAACGCTAACGTAAACGCTAACGCTTACGCAAACAATATCGTCATCGTTAAAAGCTATCCCTAACTCAAATGCTAACGCTAACCTAACGCTAGCGCTATCGTTAATGCTAACGCTATCGTTAACGTTAACGCTATCGCAGACGCTACCGCTAATGCTAAGGCTACCGCAAACGCTAACGCTAAAGCTACCACAAACACTAACGCTAAAGCTACCGCAAACACTAAGTCACGGGGTCGGGGGCTGGGCAACTCCAAAACAGGTGAAGGGAGCCAGCCTAGCAGAACCGGAAGGGGCGGGGAGCCTTATTTTTTTAAAGAATTATTTTATTATCCTCTTTTCCGGCTGGAGGGCATTCAAAAGAAGAAAAAGAAGGTTCCTGCTGTGGCAGAAACCAAGAAAAAGGCGCCTGTTGCCCCGGAAGCCACCAAGGAAAAGGTTCCTGCTATGCCAGAAACCCTTAAGAAAAAGCGAAGGAATTTTGCAGACATCAAGCGCCTGAGAAGTTTGCTCAAAAGATGCTTCGAAAGGCAAGGAGGAAGCTTATCTATGAAAAAGCTAAGCACTATCATGAGGAATAAAGACAGATGTACAGAACTGAGATTCGCATGCTCAGGATGGCAAGAAAAGCTGGCAACTTCTATGTACCTGCAGAACCCAAATTGGCATTTGTCATCAGGATCAGAGATATCAATGGAGTGAACCCAAAGGTTCAAAAGGTGTTGCAGCTTCTTCGTCTTCGCCAGATCTTCAATGGCACCTTTGTTAAACTCAACAAGGCCTCAATTAACATGCTGAGAATTGTGGAACCATGTATTGCATGGGGGTACCCAAGCCTGGTCAGTAAATAAACTGATCTACAAATGTGGTTATGGCAAAATCAGTAAGCGAATTGCTTTGACAGATAACTCTTTGATTGCACCAACTCTTGTTAAATTCAGCATCACATGCATGGAGGATCTGATTCATGAAATCTATACTGTTGGAAAACGCTTCAAAGAAACAAATAACTTCCTGTGGTCCTTCAAATTACCTTCTCCACGGGGTGGAATGAAGAAAAAGACCACCCATTTTGTAGAAGGTGGAGATGCTGGCAACATGGAAGACCAGATCAACAGACTTATTAGAAGGATGAACTAAGGTATCCACCATGATTATTTTTGTAATCTGGTCCATAAATAAACAGTGGCTGTTTTAGACTGAAAAAAAAAAAAAAAGAAAAAGAATTATTTAACTTTATTCCTTTTTTTTTTTTTTTTAAACTAGAGAGGGACAGAGAGAAAAAGAGAGGGACAAAAAACAAGACACCAGGTCTGGGGCTCGAACTGTGCTTGGCCATGTGGGAGTCCAGTGCCCCTAATCACCATGCCACCCTGCCATCCTCCAGAGGGGATTTAAAAAAAATTGCCAGAGGCCCAGCAGGTGGTCCCACATGGTCAATCACGGTTTGAGTCTTGAAATTCACATCGGGCGTGTGTGCATGTGTGACCAAAATCCCAAGAGAATGGAGGAAAAGGGATGGTGGGGTGGCCATCCCCCCTGGGGGATGATGTCTCACTTTCTCTGTCTCTCCAGTGAGCACACATGTCTTATTGCAAAAATCTCTCTTTAAAAAAAAAAAAGCCAGAGGGCACACACACTCACAGAAGACAGCGAGAAAAAGGGAATGTGAAACAGAAAAAGGGAACGTGAAAAGCACCCCCCATGGGGGAGGGTCATGTTGCAATCTCTTCTCCGTATCTCCCCCCACTTGGGATTTGAGACAGGCCTGCACACACAGGCGCCTGGGGTGTTTCTCAAGCTGTGGGTTGGTCATATGAGGAATTCAGTCACTGGCTGGCCCTCCCTACAAGGAGTTTTTAGAAGTCCCGCACGCCTTTCTGCAACAGGTCAGCAGTATAGGGCTCAGCAAACCACAGCCAAATTCAGCCTGTCACCACCTTTTGTGTAAATAAAGTTTTATTGGAACACAGCTATGCACCCATTAGAACTCATCCATTTGTGCTTCTTTGGCAGCTTTCACACTGTGATCACAGAGTCAAGTAGCGGGGACAGAGAAGGTTTGACTTGCAAAAAGAGGAACCTTTCAGGCTTAATCTTCAGACCCCTGTTTAATGGGAGCATCTCTAGCCACTTGTGGCCGGAACAGAGAGGGCAGCAAGGTCTCAGGAATGTTTGGTGCAGCAGTCTTCCAGCTCGAGTTACCAAACGTATGGATTTCCAAGCCCACCCTAATAGCCTTCTCCCCTGGAGAGGATTCCAGTACTAGATGTCTGAGGGCTCACATTTTAGGAAACTCTGGATTTGGAAAACCTTCCAGGCTAGGCAGGGAGACCCTTGAGGGACACCAGGCCCTTAAGGGTATTCCATGTCTGTGGTTATCCAGCCCCCTGGCCCTGCCTTGGCTTTAAGACCTTGTGCTAATGGGAGCCGTAACACAGCCTGCTCTCATCACCCAGGCCCAGGAGGGCCTGGTCACTAGAGCTGAGTGGTGTTAGCTGAAACTGTCACTGAGATAAGAGATGGTCCGGTGCTGAGCCAGGCCATCCCTTCCCCGTGTACGGCCTTTCTCAGGGTGCCATCTGAGCCTGCCCCAACTGCCTAAAGATGGCGGCGTTGTGTTCTTTCTTGTTCTGCTGAAGTTGGTGTCTGCTTTTCTCTGCACTCGGCCACCTAGGCCCAGGATGAAGCTGCTGGAAGCCAGCATGCTGTCACCAGCCTCATAATCTCTTTGTGAGCTCAGCTGCCCAACCCTAAAACGGGGAGAAAGATTAAAATATGAACTCCCACCTAAGAGGTCTGAGACCACAACGACAGCCGGGTGAGAGCAGGAACTCTATGTTGTTTGGAGCGAATGTTCAAAGATTGAGCAGACAGGCTGTTCGATGGCACAGTGGTAACACGCTGCTCAAGTGGTACTGGGTCTATATAGAAGATTGTGGGTTCAGTTCCTGAGTCAACATGTACATCCGTGTGTGCTTGCCCAAGAACCTGGCTGGCTGACAAGGCTGGGGGCAATTACAGTGTGAAACTCTGTTGAGGGTGCTTGCTTGTCATTTTCTCTCTCTCACTTTTATAAAAGAAATAAACTTGGGCTGGCCTTGTAGCACAGTGGTTAGGTACTGTGGGTTGAGAGCCAGATCCCACATAGTGGACCACAGTTCGCATCCCAGCCCTGGGACTTGAGAGACAAGCTGGGCGCATGTGTGCGCATGCCCCAAATCTCTTCTCGCTCTGGCAAGAACACGTGTCTTCTGACAATTAATCAAATCCTGACAGAATGGAGAGATGGAGGAAGAGGGACTGTGGCACCCCACTGGCGGGTGCTTTCTCTCTTCTCGTTCTGGCAAGAACACGTGTCTTCTGACAATTAAAGAATAGAAAGAAACTTAAAAAAAAAAAAGTTAATGGACCAGCAGGTGGCATGGTGGTTAAGGCACTGGACTCCCACGAGGCTGACCACAGTTTGAGTCCTGAATCTGGTAGCTTGCTTTCTCACTTTTTCTCTCTTTCTTTCTCTCTCTCTCTGGTGAGCACACATGCCCTATACCAAAATTAAAATAATAATAAAAAATATATATTTTTAATGTCAAGTGAGTGAATGAGAAGAGGCAGAGGAAATACTAGGCTTAGGGTCCCCTCCAGACCCCTTGGCAGTGCTCACCCAGCACAGACAGACCATCTCCCAGAGAAACAGGGACAAGTCGGCTCGTTAACCATCATCTCTTTATTTTTCAGCTCAAGAGAGCACATGCAACGCGACATCATTAGGACTCCGAAGGTGTAGCGCCTCCCCCCTCCCCCGGCTGCTCCCACACTTTAAGAGAAACCACAGCTCCTCCCACCCTGGAAATGTCCCAAGAGTCAGAGAACCCTGTGACTGAGGGCTCCGGGCCCTTGATTTCCTCTGACAATCAAGACCAGTCTCAGCCCAGGAGCCCAGACATTAGCCCTGTAAACCAGATCTCAGATGTGCCATCTTGTACCTAAATGCAAAGGCCCCAAATTATCCAAATGTCCCTGACCCCTGCCATTTCTGTGTTTCCCTCTATCTCCTACACCTGTGACTCTCCAACTCGATGGGGCCCAGGAATAATATGGAAACTCGTTAAAAACCAATGGCCGGCTCACATCAGAGCTTTCTGATTCAGTAGTTGTCAGTGAGGTGTGAGATTCTGTTTCTCCCAAGTTCCCTGGTGAGCTGCTGGCCCAGGGCCACACTGAGTAATGCAGGAGAAGAAAGCCTCTTGCACTCTGAAGCAGCTAGCCCGCAGGTCCTGCATCAGACCACCAGTTCTAACTTGGAGTTCAGAAAATACATGCCCTGCAATATAAACCCCTGCAAACTACCCATCCCTGCAAACCCCTTTCCAGCACACACGCACACACACACACACACACATGCCAATGAGGACTACCACAGAGGCGATACAGCCTAACCCAGCCCCATGGAGCCCACAATGAGGAGCCTCAATGGTTGGCTTATCTGGCCCCTCCACTGTCTCCCAGCCGGCCTGGCTGTAGTGTGGTTTCATAAGCGCATTCCTTGCTGGCTACATGTAAGTTTACCGTCTCTCCAGCAGCAATGCAAATGCTATTCCAGGGAGCCATGCGTCCAGCACCTCACATTAGATTTTATGGGATGGGCTGAATGTGGCTTAAAGGATCCACCAGCAGCACCTTGGTGGTAGAAGGGGCTACGGTTTTGGGGTTTGACCTGTGGCTTGGTCACTCTTCAAGGGGCAAATAAAGCTGTCATTTTCCCATGAGGCTTGGCCCTCGTGTCATCAGACCCTCAGCCCATTCCTAGCAGGCTCAGATACTCCCTTGGTAGCGACAGACAAAGCACAGAAAGACAGCCCCGTGGGAAGAGAGGCTCTCTCTGGGAACGGTGGTGAGCCTCCAGCCAGAGGAATGCAGATGGGCTCAGGTGACAGTCCCCACAAGGAATGGCTTCCAGGTAGCCCCCTCTCAGCTCTCCCTGGGGTGGATGTTTAGATTTGTGAACCTGTTATTGCAAAAGTTACTTACTCCTCCAGCTCTACACTATGGCTGAGTCCAGAAGAGTTTCTCAAACCACACAACCCACCTGCCTTTTCTAACAGGGCACCTCCTGGTCCCAGAGTCTCCGGAATGCTCTTTGAAGCAGCGGCCTGAATGGCAACTTAGATGTTATCTTTGAATACGTGATGGATCCTTGTCGAAGAACAGAACACCTACTAAAATTCTCCTAGAATAATCAGCTCACACGAGTGGTTTAGTATGTGCCAGGCACTATTCTAATGCCTTATAAGAATTACACATTTGCTTTTCAAAACACTCAGGAAGGAACGGTTATATCCCCATTTTACAGGTGAAAAGAATCAAGGCACAGGGACCCTAAGTCACTGTCCTACAGTTACCAAGATGGCGAGAGGAGGGGCAGGCTGTTTTGTCCCCAGCCATACCAGTACCGGTGGCAGGATGAGCACAGAGGTTCCCAGGTCGGGCTGTCACAAGAGCTACTTGGGGAGCGTTAGAAACAAAGCCCAGACTACAACCCATCACAGATAAAATAGGATTTTTGCAGATAGGTCCATGCCTTAAAAAGTTCCCCCCCAAAAGTTCACCGGATTATTCCAATGCTCAGCCAAGGTAGAGAGACAGGGGACTAGACAGGAGTTGGCAGACAGCAGTCTGGGGGCCAAAACTGCTCCAATGCCTATTTTGCATAATCTATAAACTGAGTGGGTTTTTATATATGGATGGTTTCAGAAAATCAAAAGAAAAATATTTTATGACATGAAAATCAAGTCTATGTCTGGGATCAGCAGATGGCACAATGATTACATCACTGGACTCCCATGTAGTTGACTGCGGTTTGAGTCCCGGACCCAGCAGCTTAAAGCTCATGCTGGGCGCGTATGTGTGTGTGCCCAAAATCCCAAGAGGAAAATGGAGGAGAAGGGGTTGTTCATGGCCATCCCCCCTGGGGGGGGTGATTTCTCATTTTCCGTCTCTCTGTTTTTCTCTGTCTCTCCGGTGAGCGTACATGCCCTATAGCAAAAACCTCTCTACAAATAAATAAAAATAAAATATATGCCCATAAATAGTTTTAATGGAATACAGCCATGCTAATTCATTCACATTCTGTCCGTGGCTGCTTCAAGCTATGGGAGAGTTGAGCAGTATGACAGAGACTGTAAAGCGTAAGATATATATTGGGTCATTAGAAAAGTTGTGATGCATTTTTTTTTTTGGAGAGGTTTTTGCTATAGGGTGCATGTGCTTGCCAGAAAGACAGAGAGAGACAGAGAGACCAAAAGCGAGAAATCCCCCCCCGGGGGGGACGGCCACGCCGCAATCTCTTCTCCTCCACTCTCCTCTCAGGATCTTGGGCACGCATGCACACGCGCCTGGTGTGAGTTTAAGCCACCAGGTCCGGGACTCGAACTGTGGTCGACTACATGGGAGTTCAGCGACATAGCCATTACGCTAACTGCTAGTCCCAAGTTGTGATGTATTTTTGCATAAAAGAACAGAAAAATATATACTGACTTTTCTGATAACCCAATACTTATTTGGCCTTTCATAGTAGAAGTTTGCTGAACCCCTGGATTAGTGGAAATTTGCTTCTGTGCCAGCAAAAGAAATTAAAGATGGACATGAGGCAGAACTTCCTGGCAGAGAGGTTGATTAAACACCGGAGGGGGCTTTGGGATCCCCAACTCTGGAGTTAAGAGGATTCTACCCACTCACCGCCTCCCCCCTCATGCTGACCTCTCACAGTTTCCATTGCTGATATTCTGGGTCATCCTAACAGCTGCCCCCCAGCCATAGCAATGCTGGGTTCTCCGCCTGCAGCCAGCCCTCTAGGGAACAATCCCCACTGAGCCAGTACAATCCCACATGCCCCTCCGTGTGAGGCAGACACAGCATGCGGGTTGCTGGTCTCAAGTACAAAACTGCTGGCAGATTCGCTTTCCAACTAGCTGCTTTGATCTCTTTCAATCTCTTGCCCTCCCGTCTCCCCTGAAAGGTTCCCATGCCCATCAAACTTGAATAGGGAGAAAAGAGCAAGCAGATTTGGTTTCTTCTAGATCTGCCTTTTTTCCTTGGTGCCTGACCCCTGACCCTGACTGATTTTCTCCATGCAGTAAACAGCCCTGGCATTCTCTGGGCATGGTCCAGCCCAGTGAGGCATGTGGAGGGGGAAAGGTTTTTATATTTGCTAAGTTTTTGTCTAGTTTTCTCTGGACCAAAGAGCTGACCTGGAATGAGATGCCAGGAAAGGGAGATTGAAAGGGTTCTCCTCAAGTGGGTCCTGGAGCCAGGTCTGCTGGGCCAGGTCTCTGTGCGGGCATTATTGGGTCTGGCCTGTGGGGGCCAGTTAGCTTCAGAGAGCACCTCAACCACACAGCTGCCCCAGCTCCCCCAGATCTGACTCTGCTACAGAGCTGTGGAGTGGGGTCCAGGGAGGGTCTCGGGGAGACCTGGGAAGCCCTGAGCAGTATGCTAAGTGGGTGTGCAGAGTTGATGTATATGCACTTAAAAAATTATTTTATTTAACTTTATTTAGTTTAATTTGACCAGAAAGGGAGAGGGAGAGAGAGAGAGGGAAAGTGAGAAAGCAAGCAGCCAGGTCCGGGACTCGCACCGTGGGTGACCATGTGGGAGTCCCAGCGCCCTGAACCACCACACCACTGGCCAGCCCAATGTACATGCACTTTTACAGGCCATGCTTGCACCAGCACCCTGGGGTAGAAGCTCTCGGTAGAAGCAACTAGAAAGCACATGCCCCAGGGCTGGACAGCAAGAATATAGTATGGGGTTGTTGGAAGAGTCACGTGCATTTTTGCATGGAAAACCAGAAAGAATACATCGTGACTCTCTGACAACCCAATAATATAAGGAACAACACTATTGTTCTCTCCCAGCACCTCACATGTCAGAATATCAACGATCAGAGGGCAGGGAGCAATCTGCCCAAATCGTCCTTCACACACAAACAGGTGCTTAATGTGCATTTTGCTTCATTTTGGGAGATGATACCTTTGTTCAGGGAAGGCAGAGAACAGCCAAGTCTTCCCAACTACCGTGAAAGAACTACCAGGGGCACACGCTACACGGAGAACCTGGAGGCAGCTCTTAGTTGTGGAGAGGCAAGGAGGTGGGCACTGCAACGCGATAGCCCTGGCCCAGGTTCAGACCCTCGCTCTGCCATCTGCTCCCTAGGACCTGGCCCCTTTCAAGGGCATCCTAGACCAGCGGTGTGAACATTCCCTGGGAGCATGTTAAAAATGCAGAATTGACTGAATCAGAGTCTGCATTGTAGCTGGATCCCCAGGTGACTTTTACACACATTAAAGTTTGGGGAACGTGGATTTGGGACCTTGGACAAGTCATGTAACGCACCTGTGCCTCAGTGTCCTCACCTGTAAGATAGTGATAATGCTACCTGAAAAGGTTGTTGTGCTCACTCAGTGACATAAGGTATGTCACACACTTAGCGTAGTGCCTGGCACAGAGGAGTCATTCCTTGTTCATCACCTACCCTCGGGCTCCCTGTCAGGGAGGCCACATCTCTTTTCCACACTCCAAAGCCTCTTGGTTAACTGGAAACTGTTGCAGTGCTGCTGGCGGACAGTAGAGAGCACTCTCGACATCGACTTCGCGAAGAGCCTGGCCACGCGGGTTGAGCAGGTCCGAACCGTGGGTGCGGGTGTGCGGCCGCTGGGCTCCTGGGCCCGGCAGCTCATGCACCCAGCCACTTCGCTCCTGCGACTGAACATCCTGGGCCTGAGTCTGCAGCCTCAGTCATCGGGTCCCCCGTGTGATCTCTCAGGGGTAGTCAGGAACACATTGCCCGGCTTCACCAAACTTTCCGGGACCCAGTCCCCAGGCTGGTGGGGAGACGCCTCCCGGGGCCACTAAACGTTGATGAAGGATCCCTGGTCGCCGTTGGCTGTCTCGGGCTCCACGCAGCGCCCCTTCCTCCGCGTGACCCTGCGGTTCCGGTGGAATTTGGCGTAGCAGCGCAGACCTGAGCGAAGAAAGGCAAGTGGGTCTGGAGAGCGACTCACCCTCCTTTAATCTGCCTTGCAACCCATCCTCCGCAGGGTAGTGGGAGGAGCTTTAAAAAGACTCACGGAGGGACCAGCAGGTGGCGTGGTGGTTAAGGCGCTAGACACTCCCACATGGTCATTCATGGTCCGAAGTCCAGAACCTGGTGGCTTGCTTTCTCGCTTCCCCCTCCCCCTTTCTCTAGCCAAATTTAAATAAATTAATGGATAAATAAAATAATTTTTAAAAAAGACTCAGGGGGACCAGCAGTTAGCGTAATGGCTATGTCGCTGGACTCCCACATAGTCGACCGCGGTTCGCGTCCTGGACCCAGTGGCTTAAAACTCACGCCGGGCGCGTGTGCGTGCGTGCCCAAGATCCCGAGAGGAGAATGGAGGAGAAGGGATTGTGGCGTGGCCATCCCCCCTGGGGGGTGATTTCTCGCTTTCTGTCTCTCTGTCTGTCTGGTGAGCGCACACGCCCTACAGCAAAAACCTCTCCAAAAAAAAAAGACTCAAGATGAGCAGATGGAGCAGGAGATATTTAGGGCAGTGAAAATATTCTGTTTAAGGCCTAAACGGTGGATCCATGTCATGCATTTGTCAAAATCCATAGAATGGACGGGGCTCCGTGGTCTGGTGGTTAAGGCAGCCAGGTCCCACATGGCTGACTGTGTGGTTTAACACTCCATACATGCCCAAAAACCCAGAAAGGAGGGGGAGATGGAGGAGAGATTGAGGTGTGACCATTCCCGGGGGCGGGGGTGCTTTCTCCTCTCCCTCTATCTCTCTGTTTCTCTGGCTGGTGCACTCACCCTCTAGGAAAAAGAAATGTACACGCGGTAAGCTCTAAGGTAAACTATGGACTTTAGGGATAACTACATGCAGGGCAAAGGGTATATGAGAAGTCTGTGGAGGATTCAGTTTTTCTGTGAACCTGAAACTCTCCTTAAAAATCAAGTCTTCATGGGGCCAGCAGGTGGCATGTGGCATGGGGGTTAAAGGTGCTGGATTCCCACATGGCAGACTGTTGTTTGAGTCCTAGACCCGGTGACTTGCTTTTTCACATTCCCTTTCTCTCTTTCTCTCTCTCTCGTGACATTAAAAAATAATAACAAATAGAATTAAATAAATAAATAATTTTTTTTTTTGAAAAAATCTCCAGTAAGGCCAGCAGGTGTCACAGTGGTTAAGGCTGGACTCTCACATAGCCAACCACAGTGTGAGTGCTGGATCTGGTGGCTAGCTTTCCCATTTTCTCTCTCTCTGTCTCTCTCTGGTGAATACACATGCTCTATAGCAAATTAAATAATAATAATAATAAATAAAATTAAATAAATAATTCTAAAAAAGAAGAAAATCACACAGGGCATGTGTGGGCACACACCCGAAATCTCAAGAGGAGACTGGAGGAGAAGTGATCACTCCTAGGGAGTGATTTCTCGCTTTCCCTCTTTCTGTCTCTCTGCCTCTGTCTCTCTCTCTGGTGAGTACACATGGCCTATGGTAAAAACTTAAAAACATAAAGTTTATCAGAAAAAAAATTAGAAGGGGGCCAGCAGGTGGCACAGTGGTTAGGGTACTGGCCTCCCACATGGTCAACTGTGATTCAAGTCTTGGACCTGGTGGCTTGTCTGTCTCTCTCTGGTGATGATAAGTTAAAAATAATAATCATCATAATAATAGTAATAATAATAATAATCAATTTTTTTAATCAGTGGAAAGAGGCATATTAAAAATGTTTAGATTTGGAACCAGTGGATGGCATAAGGGTTACATTGCTGGACTCCCATGTAGTTAACTAGGATTTGAGTCCCAGACCCAGCACTTAAAACTCACACTGGGAGGCCAGCAGGTGGTGTGGTGTTTAAGGTCAAATTAAAATAAATAAATAAAGTTAAATAAAATAATATTTTTTTTAAAAAGATGGTTCAAGAGGGGGACCAGCAGTTAGCGTAATGGCTATGTTGCTATACTCCCATGTAGTCAACCGCGGTTCGCGTCCTGGACCTGGAGGCTTAAAACTCATGCTGGGCGCGTGTGCGTGCATGCCCAACATCCCGAGAGGAGAATGGAGGAGAAGGGATTGCAGCGTGGCCATCCCCTCTGGGGGGTGATTTCTGGCTTTCTGTCTCTCTGTCTCTCTCTGTCTGGCGAGCGCACACGCCCTATTGCAAAAACCTCTCCAAAAAAAAAAGATGGTCCGAAAGGGAATTGTCACCAATACACAGCACCAGTGGGATCTGGGGGATGTCAGGGACACTTGGGGACCAGTAGTCCTGAGGACATCTGAGAAATTCCAAAATGCCCAACACTGGGCCCAGGACTGAAACTGAACAGTCAGTACCAGCCTGAGTTCTGGAGGATTTCGAACAGCTTTGTTTGTACTAGAGGGATGTGCACTCACTGTAGAGAGGGAGAGGGAGGGGAGGGAGAAAGCACGCCCTCAGGGGCACGGTCACACTGCAATGCCTTCTCCTCCAGGTCTCCAACCTGTTGAACTCCTGGACATGCACATGCCAGCATGTTTTTCAAGCCACTGGACCCAGGGCTTGATCCACACAGTTGGTCATGTGCAATCCAGTCACTTTAGCCACCAAGCCCCAGGTCGGACCCTCCAGGCCTCCCAGTCAGCCCCTTCTCCACTTTGGCCCCACTGTCCTGCCTCCGGTACAGACATTGAAACTCCTACGTCAGATCATGCTCCTTCCAAACCTGCTGCCAGCTTCCAGTTACACACAAGACAAAATCCAAACAAGATGACAAGTTCCTGTGTGATCCTTCTGGAAGCTTCTCCCACCTCCCTCTGTACCACCTTCCCCATTGGTCACTATGTGCCTCATCAGATTTGTTCCTGCCCAAGGTCCTTACCTGTATACTCGGCCCCTTGCCTAGAACCCCGCCCTAGCCCCCAGCCCCCAGGACCCAAGCCTCTGCCAGTAACTGTTTCTGCCCATCCTTTCTGAACCCCTCGGGCACTCATTACCGTTATCACCCCACATTATTCTCTTTCTAGCCCTTAGGACTTTCTAAAGACATTGGATTTGTTTATTTGCTTTTTGTGTGCTCTTCTCAATGTAATCCATGGGTACAGAACTTGCTGGTTCGTTTCACTGCTGGACCTCCTGTGCCCAGAACAGTGCCTGACACACAGTAGGCGCTCAGGAAATGTAACTGACAAGAGGAACGAGTACTCAGAGCTGAATAGCTTCATTGCTGTCACAGCAGATACTTTTTGAGGATCTGGGCAAAATCGGGCCTGCATCTCAGATTCATAGGGGCTGAGACGAATTTTCCCGCATGGGAGCTGTGAACGCCGACTACATAGTGGATGGTATTGAGTAACTATTTGTTTTGGTGCTTTTTTCCCCTCCAGTTTGCCATAGGGTGTGTACACTCTCCAGAGATAGGAGAGAGAAAGAAAGAAAGTGGGGGCCAGCAGGTGGCGCGGTGGATAAAGGCACTGGATTCCCACTTAGCTGACCACAGTTTGAGTCCCAGACCTGGCAGCTTGCTTTCTCGCTCTTTGGTCAAATTAAAATAAACAAATAAAATAAAATAAAACAATTCTCAAATAATAACAATAGCAAATGGAATTAAATAAATAAATAATTCTTTTTAAAAGAAGTGAGAAATCACCCCCTTGGGGTGTGGCCTGTTGCAATCCCTTCTCTCCAGTCTCCTCTCAGGATTTTGGGCACCCATGAACACATGCCCAGCATGGTTTTCAAGCCGCTAGATCCAGGATTAATCATGCAGTTGGCCATGTGGGATCCAGCCTCCTGAACCACCACGATGCCTGGCTGACCCCGGCATTTTGTCTTAAAAGGGTGTTGATTACTGGAGATAGATGCTGAAACATGCACCGATGAAGTATCTGCAGTTCCTTCGAGATCACGCTGGAATAAGGGAGTCGGGTGGGCGAGAGAGGACAGGTGGGCTACAACTGGTCGTGACTGAACTGGGATGATGGGAGAGGAGGATTCCTTAGACTACTCTGACTACTTTAGTATATGCAAGATTGACAATATCCCCTCCCTTTTCTAGCTTTGTGCTTCTGGGCGAGTCACTCGAGCTGGCTGTGTCTCTAGCCCATCTGCAAAGTGGACTCCATGAAAGCTCTATTCTGAAGGTGGTTCTGAGGTTCCAGGAGAGAAACCGGAACCAGGGAGGAGCTCTGGGAGGTTAAAAGGAGCGGCCAAAGTGTACCCCTCCCCTGGACGAGGCCAGGAGCCCACCTCTAGCCTCTTATCACACTTGGAATGCCTTCCTAGGAGAAGATTCTGGTGCGAAAGCCGAAAGCCGAAAGCCGAAAGCCGCCAGCCTTCTCTGGTTGGATCTTATTTAGAGATATGCTCCTGTCTCCTGCCTTCTCCCTCCTCCAGATCGTGGGAGATCACACCAGCTTGGATTTCAAGGGGTGAGAAAAGCACATCTGAGAAATGATGCCAGGCCTTGAGACTAAATGAGTTCACAGATTGAGAAGGCCTTGAGCAAAGCTGTTCTTGCTCACGTCTTCAGCACCCGAGGGATTCTCCCACTCCCTCCTTTGCGGCCCCTCAATTTACCCTCTGCCAGGAAATCTTGTCCCCCCTCACTGCAGAACCGGCTTGGTGAGAGGGAGGCTTTCCTGGAGCAGGGTTGCCCGAGCAGGGGAGCCCCCTGCACAAGGAGTGCAGACTCACCTTCCGTACACATGCAGTCATCAAAGCATTTGTTGTTGAGGCCTCGGTTGTGGGGCGTGCAGAGATGCCCCCGCAGGTCACAGCAGGTCCCTGCCGACGCCGCAAGCACACACAGTCAGCCCAGCTGTGCAGCCCCTCCCCGCAGCCCTGCCTGTGGTCCCTCTGGGCAGGAGATCCGTCATCTCCATAGCAGGCTGTGCCCTGACAGGTGGGCCATCTGGTGCACAAGGCTCACGGCTAGAACAGCCCACTGGGGGTGGGCGGCCAAGACCCCAGCTACCACAGATGGCCAATTGGATGATCATGGGAAGAGTAGAGATGGGCAGGGTCACTTCCTGGGGACAGCGGATGAAAGGGCTGGGGGCTGCCAGATGTGGAATCAGCCCTGTGCTGGGAGGGGCCTCAGGGATCATTGATGTCAGTGTCTTCTTTTGACAGATGGAAAATTGACGCCCCAGGCAGGTGCAGGGTCGTCTGAGGCAAGCTTCGTGAGTGGCAGAGCCAGCTCTCTGAGTGACTGTCCAGTTGGCCCAAATGTGAGCCTTTTCTTTCTGGTCAGGGTGAAGCATTGGTTTGGAAAGGAAACAGCCTGTCAGGGAGCTGGTGGTTGGTCTTGTGTATTTGATGCCAAGTTGCTGCTTTGCTGGTCGTTTTGTGGCCTACTCTGGCCACGGCCATGGCACTGTGGAGGCATGCCTCTTGGATCTCTCCTGAGGAAAGAACTGGTGCCCAGCAGCAGGAGGGCAGTTAGCTGGCAGCCTCCGGTTATCATACCTCCAGGGGCCATCTCGGCTAACTTCGCACTGGCTCAGCAAGGTACCAGGGCCTGGTTGTTCCTGCTCAGTGTGGGCTTCCTTTAAGAGGCCATCACTGGGAGCCAACAGGTGGCATGGTGGTTAGGGTGCTAGACTCCCACATGGCTGACCGTGGTTTGAGTCTCAGACCTGGCACTTGCTTTCTCACTTCCCTCTCTGTCTCTCTCTGGTGAGTACACATGCCTTACAGCAAATTAAAAAGAAAAAAATTAAAATAAAATAAATACTTTTTTCTTTTTTTTTTAAGAGAGATTTTTGCTATAGAGCATGTACACTTGCCAGAGAGGCAGAGAGAAAGCGAGAAATCACCCCACCCAGGGGGGATGGCCATGCCACAATCCCTTCTCCTCCAGTTTCCTCTCGGGTTCTTGGGCACATGTGCACATGCGCCTGGTGTGAGTTTCAAGTCACTGAGCCTGGGACCCAAACCGCGGTCAACCATGTGGGAGTCCAGTGATGTACCATTACCGTATGCGAGTCCCACATAAATAATTATATATAAAAAAGGCCATCGTTGCTCCAGAGCTCCCGTTGCCCTGTCTGCAACTCTGCATCACAGCCCGAAGGTTTCCCTAGTCCTGCTTCCTCCTCCTCTTACCTTTTATTGGCATTACTCATCCTGCTTCAATGCCAAAATAGATCTTTTGCATTTTTTAAAAGAATTATTTAATTTTGGGGGCCAGCAGGTGGCATGGTGATTAAGGCACTGGACACTCACACATGGCTGACCATGGTTTGAGTCCCAGACCTGGTGGTTTGCTTTCTCACTTTCCTTCTCTCCCTCTTTCTGTGTGTGTCTCTTTCTCTGGTCAAATTAAAATCAATGAATGAATAAATAAAATTAAAATAAGAATTATTTTTATTTTATTAATTATTATTATTATTACTATTATTTTTTCAATTCACCAGAGAGAGAGAGAGAGGGAAAGTGAGAAAGCAAGCTATCAGGTCCAGGACTTGAACTACAGCTGGCCAGGAGGGAGTCCAGAACCTTAACCAACACAGAAAACTAGAAATCACCCCCCACGGGGGATGGCCATACCATAATCCCTTCTCCCCTTGGGATTTTGGGCATGTATGTATATGTGCCCAGTGTGAGTTTCAAGCCACCGGGTCTGGGACTTGAACCGTAGTCAATCACATGGGAGTCCAGCATCTTAACCACTATGCCACCTACTGGGGGTGGTTGGGGGCCTGGGGCTAGCAGTATAGGAGGTTAGTCAACTCCTCAGGCCCCCTTTATTCTCAGATTACCTTGATGTTGATGCCTGCTGAGCCCTGAGGATATCATTGACAGCATCCCTGAAGGCCCAGCAGGGGTACAAGGACAGAATTAAGCCCTGCGGATGGGAAGAGGTCAAGAAAGGGCCATTCTGATTCAAGGCAGCATGGGTCTGTGGTTAAGTTCTGGAACCAGGTTGGCCCAGATCTGCGTCACTTCCTAACTGTGTGACTTGGGTGTGACACAGCCTCTCTGGGGCTCAACTGCCTTGCCTGCAAAGTGAAGACAGTGCCTCATTCTCTGGGTAGCTGTAGCGTATTGAATAAGTGAATGCATGGCAGCCACTCTCAGGAAAGCAGGAGCTGTGCTTACAATTTACTACCTGTAAAGGGTCATGGGCCCTCGGGCCTGCTCAGGGCCTGGGACCCCTGCCCCCAGCCCCACCCTGGTCTCCTCCCAGCACCCAGCATGGTGCCAGGGGTGTGAATGCTATGGATGCTGGCTGGTACCTGGCAGGCAGTCTTGGTGATGGTCACAGGGCTCTCCTTCTGCTGGAGATGTTTCATTTCCATCACTGGAGAGAGCACCCCGGTGTTTCTCTGGGAACAAGAAAGTCCTCGTCAGAAGCAGAGACCGGGCAGGGCAGAGCAGAGCAGTAGTGCTCCAGGACTCGGGTGGTGTGAACAAGGCACTGCCGCCTCTGCCTAGTTCTCCTCTCTAAAATGGGACCCGCAGTAGTGCAGACTAAGAGAGCTCATCCAGGTTACAATGAGTTGTTGCCTGGGGAGCATTTGGCAGGTGGTAAGCACTTGGCAGCCTTTCCATCTGGAGTGTCAGATCCAGTCTAGACTCCATGCTTCCCCCACCCACACCCACCCTGTGACAAGCACAGGTCAGACTGGGTTCACGGGGCCCCACAGCAACAGCTGGGGGAGGGAAGGGAACCCAGGCTTGTGGGGGCGGGAGTTGGGTAATGTGGAAGTACCTTTCTTTTTTGCAGAAGGCCAGACATCAGGTTTTAGGTCTTCATAATCGGTCCAGTCGAACAAGGCCATGTCCAGGGTGGGCATCACCTCTCCGTCGGGCCTGGGCTGTGCCTGAGAAGAGGGTGTGGAGGAGGGAAACTGAAGCTTTCCAGCCAATGGAGGCAAGAAATGTGGGGCCCAAGGACAGAGGCAAAGGAGGGACTCCTTGGGCTGCTTCCCAGCTTGAATCCCAGCTGAGGACATGGAGGATCTCCCAGCAGCCACAGGTACTTTCCTTCCTGAGCAACCACCACCCGAGAGGGCTCGAGCCCTGAGCCCCGATGCAAGCAGGTGAGTTGTCCATCAGGCCCCCCGAGGAGGGGCTGAGACCACCATCCCAGCTGGGAAGGCCATTGCCAAAACCAGCCCAGCTGTTCCCTCCTCTGTCCCTTCCCCTCCCCTGCAGAAGTCACCAGCTCAGTCCCGCACTCAGGCTCTGCCAGGGGCCTCAAGAGTGCTGAGGGTAACAGACGATGGCTGGATCTGCCCACGGCCACCTGCTCACGGTAGTGTGTGGGCAATTACCACACCGTCTGGGACTGGCTTCTCTGGGCCTTTACCGACGGGATAATTTTGTATTCCTGGGAGATGGTGGTCCAGCTCTCATTGAATCACAAGGAGACCCAAGACCCAAAATGAGAATAAGGGGGCAATCCATTTTCAGGGACCCCTCCCTTTTTGGGAGCTCCGTTTTCCCTTCCCTCTCCTTTAATAAACTCCTCGCTTCATAATTCCCCACTTTGCTAATAAACTCCTAGCTTCACTATTAAAAAGAGAGAGAGAGAGAGAAGACCTACAGCTAAAAAGTCTTCTTTCTTACCTATTATTTCATATACACATGTGTATGTTATTGAGCATGTAAAACGATTCTATCTTGAAAAAAAGCCCCAAGCCTCAGAAGAGGTGTCAGGACAATGGGGTTAACTTCTGTGTTCTCCTCATCTAGAATCACCAGTGGGTGGCAGTTGTGTCACATTTGCTAGCTTGCCTTTTCCATGTATCTTTCTTTTTTTCAAAGAGGTTTTTGCTACAGGGCGCGTGTGCTCGCCAGACAGACAGAGACAGAGAGACAGAGAGAGAAATCACGCCCCAGGGGGGATGGTCACGCCACAATCCCTTCTCCTCCATTCTCCTCTAGGGATCTTGGGCACACACGCACAAGTGCCTGGCGTGAGTTTAAGCCACCGAGTCCGGGACTTGAACCGCGATAGACTACATGGGAGTCCAGTGACATAGCCATTATGCTAACTGCTGGTCCCTCATGTATCTTTCTTAATAATCTGAAGCAAAGGGGTGGAAGCGTTAACTAATGCTTGGTAATCCTGGATCCTGGGGACGTGGTTTTTAAAATGACTTTGTCTACTCTGTGCTTTTCGGTACACATATAGGGCTTCCTGAGGACCTCGCTCTGTCCATGCAGAGGCTAGCATGCTGAGCTGGCACCCGCTTCCTCCCCCAGCTCCCCTCCCTCCTGACCCCAGGCCTCAGTCTCCCTGTGTAGTAAGAGAGGTTTCAAGGACCCTTCCAGCTCGGAGGCTGTTTGGGGCCCCTTACCTGCGGCTGCAGGGAGGTGACGGGAAGGATCAGGGACTCTTCTGTGGCTGGCGCTGCCTCAAAAGAGGTCAAGAAGAACATCGTGGGGGCCAGGCTGGTAGAGGACTCCTCCATGGCGGCATCCAGGGCCTGGTCTCCTGAGAGCTCCATCTTCTTCATCAGGGAACTGGGGCCTCGCACCAAGGCACGGCCTGAGGCAGGGGCAGGAAGCACCCGGGCTTTATCTGCCTGCCACCGCCTGCCCACCCCGCCATAGCAGAACCCACACTTAAACCAGAGGGCAACAGAAAAGTCCTTGGTTCAGCCAATATCCCTGCTGCCTACCCTCCCAGGGAGGTGGAAATGGGGAACTCAGGAGCCAGGAGGGCTGTCTTGGGTGAACTCAGTGCTGCCGGGAAGATGGCAAGCCTTGTCCCTGTCATGCAGCATTCCAGCAAGTCCAGTCCAGGTGGGCTAGATGGGCCGACAGCTAGGAGTGTAAATGTAACAAGTGGAATTAGCAAGGCTAACTATGGAAGGCTTGGGCTGAGAAGCAGTACCCTGACAAGGGACGATGTCCTTGAGAAAGCCAAGGGGGAGAGCCTCAGCGTATCACACGCAACGAGTGTTCCCACTGTGGTGGTAATTCGTCATCACCTTGTTTACTGAGCACCTGCTGTGTGCTGGGTCCCAGGGAACCCTTTACAAGCACTATTTCATCTAACCATGCAGGAGCTCTGGGAGGTGGGTGCTCCTTCAGCCTTGTTTACAGGGGAGGAAACTGAAGCACAGAGAAGTTGGCCAGTGTGCCCAAGGACACACAGCTCTTAAGCAGCAAAGCCTGGATTTGAAGCCAAGTCCATCTGAGTGTAAAATCAATGCTTTTAACCAATGATGCCATCGTCTGAGACACAGAAGTATTAGGTATGATGAGTGTGAGGGAGAGAGTGTGCAGAATGGGCAGGGCCTTGTGACCTAAGGGTCTTAGACAGAAGCAGGAGGACCTAGGCTTGTTCTTGTCTCTTTTTCTCGGTCAAAATCTGGTTGTAAGATGGTTGGGTCACTTAGGGTCACCCCACCTTGCACAAATGAATCAGAGAGCACTTCAGGGCACTGAATCCACCCCATTCATTTTTTCAAACAAGGAAACTGAGGCTTCATCAGTCTGAGGTTTCACAGCTGGTCACCCGCAGAGCTGGGCTTACCCTGTAGACCTGCTTTTTCCCCTCCTCCTGCCTCACACCAGCTCTCCTGGGAGAGCCCCACTGCTCCGTCGAAGCTGAGCCCAGCCGGTGAGTCCATGCCCAAGGAGCCCTCCGGCTTCCCTCAAGGTTGCCAGCACCTCTTTCCAACCTGAAATAGGTGACCTCTAGGGGAGCTGAAAGTTGAAGCTGGGGCCCCCAACTGGGTTCTGCCCACCTGGGAGATTTCAGTAGGCCTGGCTGAGAGGGAAGCCCCAGGTGTTTACAGAAGGGAGAGTTTGAGGCCCCATCACCCGGGCTTTATCTGCCTGCCACCGCCTGCCCACCCCGCCATAGCAGAACCCACACTTAAACCAGAGGGCAACAGAAAAGTCCTTGGTTCAGCCAATATCCCTGCTGCCTACCCTCCCAGGGAGGTGGAAATGGGGAACTCAGGAGCCAGGAGGGCTGTCTTGGGTGAACTCAGTGCTGCCGGGAAGATGGCAAGCCTTGTCCCTGTCATGCAGCATTCCAGCAAGTCCAGTCCAGGTGGGCTAGATGGGCCGACAGCTAGGAGTGTAAATGTAACAAGTGGAATTAGCAAGGCTAACTATGGAAGGCTTGGGCTGAGAAGCAGTACCCTGACAAGGGACGATGTCCTTGAGAAAGCCAAGGGGGAGAGCCTCAGCGTATCACACGCAACGAGTGTTCCCACTGTGGTGGTAATTCGTCATCACCTTGTTTACTGAGCACCTGCTGTGTGCTGGGTCCCAGGGAACCCTTTACAAGCACTATTTCATCTAACCATGCAGGAGCTCTGGGAGGTGGGTGCTCCTTCAGCCTTGTTTACAGGGGAGGAAACTGAAGCACAGAGAAGTTGGCCAGTGTGCCCAAGGACACACAGCTCTTAAGCAGCAAAGCCTGGATTTGAAGCCAAGTCCATCTGAGTGTAAAATCAATGCTTTTAACCAATGATGCCATCGTCTGAGACACAGAAGTATTAGGTATGATGAGTGTGAGGGAGAGAGTGTGCAGAATGGGCAGGGCCTTGTGACCTAAGGGTCTTAGACAGAAGCAGGAGGACCTAGGCTTGTTCTTGTCTCTTTTTCTCGGTCAAAATCTGGTTGTAAGATGGTTGGGTCACTTAGGGTCACCCCACCTTGCACAAATGAATCAGAGAGCACTTCAGGGCACTGAATCCACCCCATTCATTTTTTCAAACAAGGAAACTGAGGCTTCATCAGTCTGAGGTTTCACAGCTGGTCACCCGCAGAGCTGGGCTTACCCTGTAGACCTGCTTTTTCCCCTCCTCCTGCCTCACACCAGCTCTCCTGGGAGAGCCCCACTGCTCCGTCGAAGCTGAGCCCAGCCGGTGAGTCCATGCCCAAGGAGCCCTCCGGCTTCCCTCAAGGTTGCCAGCACCTCTTTCCAACCTGAAATAGGTGACCTCTAGGGGAGCTGAAAGTTGAAGCTGGGGCCCCCAACTGGGTTCTGCCCACCTGGGAGATTTCAGTAGGCCTGGCTGAGAGGGAAGCCCCAGGTGTTTACAGAAGGGAGAGTTTGAGGCCCCATCACCCTCCTCCCAAAGAACCCCATCCCACTAGCACTACCACATTTGTGGCACTCAGCCTGCCCCTTCAGGCAGTCTTGTCACAAGAGACGTAGGAGCCAAGCTGCCCTGGGGCTCAGTGCCAGGTGAGCCTAGGGAGGGCCCATCTGGGTGAGCCACTGGGACATGTTTGCTCAGAGACTGAATGGGGAAGGGAGAGGGGCCTGGGCCAGTGGGTGGCTGATAGCGCATAGGGTTTGTGACTAAGAAGGCTGTAGGGAGCACCCCTGAAACAGGGAAGAGGCTGAAGAGGAGGAATGGGATGCCTATCCTGGGTCCCATGGGGCCAGGTTGGAGGACACTGAGTCAGTATCAACAGGAGGCTCAGAGCAAACCAGTAACAATCACCGGTCATGGCTCCTGACGCCTGAATTCTAAGCACTCTGCAAGTAAGTCTGATCGTACACCGAGGGTAGACGAGACCATTGTTCTCATTTTGCAGAAGGGGAAACCGAGGCCCAGGATGGCCCAGGACCATGCAGCAACAGTTGAGGGAGCTGGGAGCTGATCTTGGGCAGCCTGGCTTCAGAATTGATGGGGGCCGTGCTTTGGAGGGTGTTGAACTGCCCCATTGCTACTCAGGACTTGCGGGAGGCTGGCCTTGGGTCAGATACCAGAGACTCCCTGACAGGAGGAGGATGTGTCGATAGCAGTGAGTTTCTTTCTTTTTCTTTCTTTCTTTCTTTCTTTTTTTTTTATTTTGAGAGGTTTTTGCTATAGGGCACGTGCGCTCAGTGCGCTCGCCAGAAAGACAGAGAGAGACAGAGAGACAGTAAGTGAGAAATCACCCCCCAAGGGGAATGGCCATGCTGCAATCCCTTCTCTTCCATTCTCCTCTCGGGATCTTGGGCACGCATGCACATGCGCCCGGCTTGAGTTTAAGCCACCAGGTCGAACCACAGTCGACCTCATAGGAGTCCAGCAACATAGCCATTATGCCAACGGCTGGTCCCAATAGCAGTGCGTTTCTATTGCTCTATATTCTCTGCCCCATCCCCAAGTCTCCCCCACTCCTTCCCCTTACCAGCTCTGACTTTAGTGAGACCCCACCCCTTTTCTGGGTGCCCACTGCCTGCTCCCTTTGGGGCCTCTGGATGTCCTCCCAGAAACCTCACACCACTGCCCCCTCCCTTTAGCCTCCCCCTCTTGTCCTAAGAGTCCTCTGGGCCATTTGGACTCGAGCCATCTCCTTGTGCCCCCACCCTCTCTGTCCTGTCCACTGCAGGATGCCATGCCCACGCGGATCTCCACTACCTCGGTGCAGTTTTAGTCGGTCTCTGCGTCTCTTGTGCTCCCTGCTGCGTTTCTTTGCCCTCTCCCACCCTGGAGACTGAGTCTCCTTCTCTGGGTAGGGCAACGCCAGCCCCAGGAGCAGGTCCTTGTCCTGAAGCAGGCCTGCGGGAATCTGCCTAGGCAGCAGCTCCCCAGCCTCAGGAAGCTTGGAAGCCTGCCTGGTGGTGGTGACCACAGCTCCATCATGGGCCCGGCTGGGCATGCCTGGGCTCCGCTCCTTTTTGCCCAGTCCCCGCCGGCGGTGGTGGCTGGCTTGAGGCATCCACAGTGCTGGACCTGGGAGGTCGATGTGATTCTCAGGGAGGTTCCGAGCAGGCGTTGCAGGTGCCAGGGAGTCTGCCAGGCTCAGCTGCAGGAGCACCAGGAGGATGAGGAACAGCATGGGGGCAGCATGGATGGGGGGCCTGGCCATGTGCTCTTCCCTGCAAGGAAAGCAGCTCCATGAGGGGCCAGGCCACGCTCCTCTGCCACCACCCACTCCCAGATTCCCACACTTGTGATCACAGCCCAGTTTGTCTCCGCAGGAATGGAGGAGGACTTTACCTCCCAGGGGACATTCGATAACGCATGGAGGCACTCTTTTAGTTGTCAGAACTGGGAGTGCTGGGCAGGCTCGGCTGCAAAACCTAGTGATTAAGGAAGCTGGATCCCATGTGGCCAGCTGTGTGGTTCAAGTCCTGGCCCCAGTGACTTGAAAAACATGTTGGGTGCACGTGTGTGCATGTCTCAAATCCCGACAGGATGAGGAGATGGAGAAGGAATTGCCATGTGACCATGCCCCATTGGGGGATGCTTTCTCCCTCTTTCTCTGTCTCTCTCTGGCCGGTGGACATATCCTCTGGCAATAAACCAATTGATTAATTGATTGTTTTAAAAAAAGAAAATGGAGTGCTATTGGTATCTGGTGGATAGCGGCCAGGGTTGCTGCTAAGCACCCTATAATACACAGGACACCCCACAACAAAGGATTGTCTGGCCCAGAAAGGCGGCAGTGTGGAGGTTGAGAGCCCCTGGCCTAAACTGTCGCAGTGGCATCCAGGTTGTGATTAGTCTAGATTAGTCTATGATAGATTTCTCTGTGCAAACGTCTGCCCTTTGCCAAGTCCCCTGGAGGAGAGCCGAGTCCCTCAGTGCTCAGAAATACGTCTCTTGTCCCCAAATCTTGACTTGAAGCCTAAATTCAGCAAATAGAATAATAGTGTTCGAGCATGTGCCATATGCCGGAATTGTGTTAAGTGCTTTGTGTGAATTTATAACACTTAGTCCTTTCAACAACCCCCGGAAATGACTCGTGTTATTTTCCCCATCTTTCTGAAGTGGTAATTGCGGCTCAAAGAGGTTAAGTCATACCTAGTGAGTGGCATCTGTGTTATTCATGTCCTTGTCCCGGGACAGCCCAGCTGTCTTCCATCCTTTTCTTTCTCTCCAAGGGTGAACTCTGAGATCCCAGATGTTCCGACACTGTTCTTGCCAGGCTGAGGGACTTTGGGGATGGCTTTGCAGACTTGGCTCTGACCCGGGCAGGGTGGAGTGAGACAACCCTGCTCACCCTCAAGACAGGCCCCCAAACCCCCACCAGAGTGGAGTTTCTCAGGGGACCCAGTGTCCTCCTTCCACACAGGAGGCAGCTGACCCTTGATGGGTCTGGAGGACTTCTAAGCTAAAGCCCAGGAGGCCTGGGGCCAGAGTGGGGGAGCATAAGACAGTGGGGGTATCTGTTGGACTCTGGAGACTCCCCCCATCTGCAACCCCTGCCCCCTCTATTGCACCAGCCTCATCACTGTACCGACTCCCGGGCACTGGGTTAGGCAGGCTGATTGAATTTTTATGGCTTCCCCAGGCCTCCTGAGTATTCCATTAGGCTCACAGAGGTGCTTACGCCACCGTTTCTTTGTGATTTGTGGCCATATAATTGCCCGGGGCTGAGGAAAGGTTGGCAGGCCTGTGATGATGCCGATTCCCGATTCCCGGCATCACCCCCCTCAGCTGCGAGTTCCTGCAGCCCCCACACTGGCGGGCCCATCCCAGGCTCACCCTTAGCCCACCCCTAGTGAAGGCCAGCAGCAGGGAGGCTGCCCTGGTCCTCCTCAGAGCCTGCTCACAAGTCCTCCTTCCTGCTGGGCGCATCCTGGTCCCTGGGAGGCCTGGGCCTGGGCCCTGGCTGCCTGCAGCTCTGCTCTTCCTGGAACAGGGGTGGAGACGATGATGAAGATTGTCACTTTCCCTCTCATCCCCTATCACAGGATCTGCCCCGTGAGGTCGTCGTGACACGGATCAACTTGCTGTGACAACACCTGTCTCTCTGTCACTCGTTGGTTCATCTGGGGCTACAGACTCTGCCGTCCACGCCCACTGTCTTGGCCACCTTGTGGGCCACTGTGGCTGCTGCCCCTTCCGCCTCACCCCCAGGCCTTCCCTAATGAGAGCTCTGGAGGCTGCTCCTCGCCTGTGCCCCTGGATTCCTGAGGCAGCCCCGCGGGGAGGAGGGCCTGCTTGAAAGGCCTGTCAATCAAGCATTGTTCTGCTCAGGGGGGCTCCCGTCCTGTCTCAGGGCTGGTATCCGATCTGGCTACTCTCTGGGCTGGCATCGAGCCTGACCACAGCCAGGCTTTGCCGTCCGCTCTCCCTGTGACTGGGCAGGCTGCTGTGTTGGAAGCTGGCCAAGATGTAGCCCTGCCTTTCTGTCCTGCAGGGACATTGATAGCCTGGGAGACACCCCCAGAGCATCCTCACAGAGGGAGCCTTCGGGGCTTGGCCACTGAACAGACTCACCCCCACATCCTGGGGTACAGAGGAGTGCAGGCAAGATGGCAGGTGAGGCTTGGGGATGTGGACAGACCCACCGGCAGGTATGGGCAGCTTGCTGGCCCTATGACCACACACAAGGACTACTGATGGCTCTCAGAGCTAGTCTCTCACTCGGTGACCAGCCGGGGTGCTGGTCTGGGAGGACAGCCCCTCCCTGCAGAGCCAGGAGAGATGTTCATCTCCTCTGACCTCAGCACCGTGATCCCACCCAGACCTGCCACCCTTTCTCTTCCTCAAGTCCCCTTGCCAAGCGCCTGCTTGGCTGTGGGTCTGCCCATTGCACTGGGACCTCCGAGCTCAGCACTGTCTTTGTTCTCTCCTGCCTTTTGCACCCTGTGAATCACACAGGCATCCAGCCTGGGGTGAAGGAACAGGGGAGTTTAATGTGCAGTGCCTGTGGGGGGTGCCATCCCTCTCTCCTGACCTCATCAGCACTGTCCTGCCTCCAGACCTGGCCCATGCTGCTGCCAGTCACTCTGAACAGGACCTTCACCACACATGCGTAACTGTCCATGGCTCCCTGTGGCCTTCCCATTTAACCGGACTCCTCACTTTGGCACTCAAGACCTTGAGTGATCCCAACCTAGCTTTACAGTCCTGACTTTTGAATTCTCCCCTTCACAGTCACAGTTTCCTAGGCCCCAAACACACCCCATCTTTTCTGTCTCTCTGTTCTCTCTTAGGCTATCCCTCACACAGAATAACCTCTCCCCTCCATCTCGTCTCTCTCTGTCTAAATCCTGCCCTTCCTTTGGGACCTATCCAAATGCCCCTTCCTCCAGGAAGTCTTGTTCATTGTCCACCTCAATGTGCAGCCCTGCATAGCTTTGCCCAGCTCCTGAAGACCTCATATGTTATTTTGAGCTGCGACTGCCAGCCTTTTATAAGTCTCTGACTAGACCGGAAGCTCCTAAGCGGCTCTGCAGCAGTCTTAACCTCTGCTCTGTGGGGAGCATCTACCGGGCCCTCCAAATAACAGGCACCCCTAACTACGGATCAGGATGGGAGTGGATTAACACAACTGAATTTACACCTGAGCAGGTTGGAAGTAAGTACCCAAGATGCATGTGTGTGCATTCGCACGCAGTAGAGCCAAGGGAAGCCTGCACGGACCCTCTCTCCAAACCCGCAGGATTTGTACACAGTTCTTGGCACAGCCCAGCAGCCAAGATGCCAGCCTGGCAGAGAGCCACTGAGGAAACGTGGGCTGCTACAGAAGTCGTGCCAAGGATCCACAGTGAGGAAGGGCCCCAATCCATTCCTGTCACTCTGGAAGCCAGTTGGAAGCTGTGTTACAAAGCTCTGTGCATTCAGCCAAAAAGGGGAGGCGGTGTGACACCTCCTCAGCCCTGCATGGTTCTGCCTGTGGCTTCCTCACAAAGCCTTCTGGGCCTTGGTCTGGTCCTGCCCAGATTGGCCCCAGTCAGCAGTCTGGAGTTGCCTTGGGCAAGATTGTGGAGGGACATTAGGAGCATCTACAACCCAGAGAAGGCCCTCTCACAGATGACGTCACACAGCGAACCACTGAAGAGGAGACAAAGCACCGCAATGACCGGAGCTGCAGCTCCCCGGGCAGCTGTGAAACCTGCTCTCCGACATGCTTTTGGCCACGTCTTATTTTGTCCTTTTAACTGCCCTGGATACAGATAGAGTTTTCCATGTTGTTTTTCCGAAGTCCATTTATCTATCCCTTCCATCAGAGAGACAGAGAGACAGAAAGGTAGTACCGCAATAGGGTCTCCATGCCACAGCTCATCCCAGCCTCAGCCTAGCTCACACAGGAAGACCTCGACATAAATCCGGGGACCCCTCCACACACACACTGGGTCCAATTGTGTTACTACTGTGCCATCCCCTGGCCCCTAATTTTCTGGGCATTTTGTTTGTTAGTTTAAAATTTAAAAAAATATATTATTATTTTTTAGAGAGAATGAGTTTTGCTATATGTCTCTGTCTCTCGCCAGAGAGACAGCCAGAAATCACCGCCCCCCCCCCAGGGATGGCCACACCACAATCCCTCCTCCTCCATTCTTCTCTTGGAATCTTGGTCACCTGGCATGAGTTTGAAGTCGCCCACTCCAGGACTCAAACTGTGGTCGACTACGTGGGAGTCTAGTAACGTAACCTACCATCTACTGTGCCCATGTTAGTTTAATTTTTAACTGCCAGAGCGAGAGGGAAAATGAGAAGGTAACCCTCCCACCCCCACAGCTCCCCATGGAGGATGGGCTTCACAATCCCTTCTCCAGTATCCCCTTGGGATTTGGGGCACACACACACACACACACACACACACACACACACGCACACACACATTCCTAGTGAGATTTTCCAGCCCTGGATCTAGGACTCGAATTGCGTAATCAGCCATGTGGGATCCGAAATCTTAAACCTCAATACCTGCTGTCCCTAATTTTCCACATTTTTTTTTGTAGAGGTTTTGTTTTTGTTTTTGTTTTTGCTATAGGGCACGTGTGCTCAGAAAGACAACACTGCAATCCCTTCTCCTCCATTCTCATCTCGAGATCTTGGGCACATATGAACACGTGCCCAGTGTGAATTTAAGCCACCAGGTCCAGGGCTCGAACCGTGGTCGACTACATGGGAGTTTAGT